TGGAAATTATGATAGATCGGAAATTAATTTTTAAAAACATATTGATTCCATCATGCAAAAAATAAATAGAAATTTGGGAATAATGAACAGACTAAAATATATTCTACCAAAAAAAATTTTAATTTTAATATATCACGCTTTTATATATCCACATCTATACTATGGAAATCTAATATGGGGTAACACTTTCAAGACGTATTTGGAAATTTTATTTAATGTCCAAAAAAAGCACTAAAAATTATAAATTTTAAAAACGATATAGATAAAAAAGACCTTTTCAATAAACTTAAGATTCTATCGATATTTGAAATAAATTATCTTAAATGCTGTTGTTTTATTTTTCGATTTCTTAATAGTGCTATAAGACCATCAGACAATTACCTACATGATTCATTTAAATATGAAATCAAGGCAAGACCACCGAGTTCAAATTTTGAAAAAAAAAATTAAAAGAATCTATTGTTAAAACCAAACTACTCAATAGAAATATATGTTTTTATGGGGTATATAAATGGAACAGGCTACCAAATTTTATAAGAACTTGTACTGTTTATCGACTATTTAAAGATAAATTAAAAGATTTTCTTTTATGTTTATCTTAATTAATTTTATTTAGTATACAATATTGTTTTATTGTTTTTTCTTGTTTATACGCATTTCTTTGATATTATATTTTGGTTTTATATTTAAGGTAATTCTAATTTATTTAATTCATTTTATTTGAATTTCTTTCTTTTCGTGATAAAATTTTTTCTTTCTCGTTGCAACAAGTTTAATTTTTATGCATATGTTTTTTAATTCTAAAATTTTGAAACAATACTAATTAGGGTTATTAAATTAGTTGAGATACCTTGCTTGCTACGTGACAACGAAGATTTAGTGTGCCAAAAAAAATTGCAGGATTCAACTGTTTAACTTATCAGCTTAACAGAATAATTATTACAAACTTACGAGATGAACATACAAAATTACAACATACAAATGTAACAACGGATACTAATGTGGATGTAAAAAAATACTCAACCCCCGTTAACTTTGTTAGAGCTGGAAGTGAGTCTCGGACAGATGAGGATGATTTATTTTTACAAACAAAAATATGACGAACGATAAAATTGGATTATTGGAGAGACATACATACAAAGGGGATTGGGCGGAAGCTTTTAGGACAAATGGGGTTCATCCCTGGGAGAGGTTTAGGCAAGAACCTCCAAGGAATTCCAATCCCAGTTGAAGCTGTGCTAAGAGAAGGTAGAAACGGAATTGGCTACAAAAATTATAATTATAGTTTTGAAAGATGTTTCATACAAAACAGTAATGATGAAGATGAAATTGATGGTAAAAATGATGGTAATAGTAGTGATTATAAAATTGATAGTGATGATAAAGTTGATAGTGATGATAAAAATGATAATGACAGTAATTGGGATGATGACGAAGAAGAATCGAAAAAGTAAGGCTTTGAAACATTTGAAGTTGCGCTAATGAACCGTTCAAATAAATGGTTATAGGTTTTACTAGACCTATCAGCCGCAGAACGCTTATTTGAGATTGATAAAAAGCTCAATTGTGCCACAAAATTAATTTTTAATAGTAAGACATAAATCCATCCATATTTCACTCTAGACGCTGTAAGATGTTTCTAATGTTACTAGTTATGTGTATTGAAATCTGAATTTTACAATTATTTTATATTCTCAGTAGTCGTTTGTTATAATTATATTTTAGGAATAAACTATTTTTTTGATCAAGCTTTTTTTACATTAAGACTCTTTACAAAAAACTCGGTCTTTATTAATATAAAGAAATATAACTAAAATAAAATACATTCGAACCAATTGTATTAATATTATTAATATAAAGAAATATAATTAAAATAAAATACATTCGAACCAATTGTATCGATTTAACCTCAACAAAGTTATCGTCTAAATTTACGCTTTCTATGTTCACAACCTCTTTGTTTCTATGTAAAAACTTTCTTCGTTAAGACCTCTTACAGTAAACCGCTTTGTTTAGCTAGTTGCCGCCAATGGTTATTAATTCTAATAAACAGTTGAGATATTAAAATTTCTTTTTAAAATAATCTTATTAAAATTTGCCATATTCAACTCGGTTCAATTAAAATAATTATATTTATATAATTTTCTTTTCAATATAAATAATTATATTTATATAATTTTATTCAACTCAACAGAAAATTAATTAACATCGCAAGTTGAGCTTTAAGCACCCTTGTATAAATATTTATTCAAGGTAGTCGTAAACCTTAAAACAGTTCTATGTTAGTAATGTAGAAAAATTTTTTATTTGGGATTGTAAATAAGTTGGTGCATATATAAGTCGGAAGTTTTCATTAGAAAGTGAAATTTTATAAAATTTGATATTGATAGAGCAATTTTCAATTATTAAAATTTTTTAAGAATTATTGAACATTTAAATATTCAATATGGACGGCTTAAATAGAGAAGACAGCTTAAATGAAATTTATGAAGATATTGAACATTGCGTCAGAGAAGAAATAAACGAGTTCTTGGATCACAGAGACCATAGCCACAAATTATTCAAAATTGATACTTTCAACAGGTTTTTGAGTCAAAACAAGAATAAATATCCAATTTCAAATTTTGACATTGAAAACATTCCAAAAGTCATTAATGGCATCCAAATGGAGATCAAGTTTGGCACTGACGAATGGCTCGGCATACCATCGCTTTTTGAAAGCCAGCAATACAATCTACTCAAAGATATGCACGACTTCTATTACGAAGCTTACGTTGAACGGTTTTGCAAAATAAGTTTTTCCAAATGTGATAATTCCATGAATTCAGGTCACGGAGAGAAATTGCTCTTAATGATTAGTAACCACAAAGATTTGTTCAGCGAGGCATTGGCAGAGAACAGGCAGTACGCTGTTCCTTATTTTGATCACATATCTAAAAATCATACTTGCGGAATATGCTGGTATCAATTTGTTGAAAATAAATTAGTATTTGAATTGAGTTGCAAACATGCGTTTCATTTCAGTTGCCTGAAAAAATGGATGAGGAAGAAGACCCACTGTCCGCACTGCGAAAAGCCTGTTGTCTTCAGTCGTCGGATCGAACGTACCTATGAGATAAAAAGTTCAAATTACGGCTACAAATATGTTGACATATCCGTCAGTTCTCTACCTAAATATATCTGATTGTCAAATTGAACAAATAGTTTAAAATGTTATTTGCTAAATAATTTTCATTTCTTCAAAACGTTTTTTTTATTACCGGACAGCAAGGAATAAATTTAATGAATTTTATTTAATTTCATTTTGAATTTCATAAAGTTGTTAGATCCGAAAAGGAAGTTTAAATTTAATTAATTCACTAGAATTGTCTTTATTACTAGAAGTAAATTGTTAACGTGTTATAATGTAAATATTCATTTACTTTATGTTTTTTGTTAATAATAAAAGACTCAAATTTTTAGTAATTTTTTAGTTTCGTGATTTTAAATGAAACAATATCATTGAAAAGAATGATATCATAAACAAACTAAAAACGTTGCTGAAAAGTGGACCTCACAATATTTTCACATTAAAACACACATTACCAACACAACACTTTTTTTAGGTGCGTCGAAGCCATGTTGCTCCAAACACAAATATCGTTGAAAAATATTAAGAAATTTAATTAGTGGTTAATTAATTTATGCTAACGAAGAATTAAAATGTGTTTGGTTTAAAATCCGTTCAGTGTTGCAAAACACATTTACGATTAAACGTATTACAAAGTTTATTTTATCATTAATTGTAATTAAATGAAACCGGAATGAAATGATAATTGAAGTTTACAGGCGTTGGTATGTAAGTAAGCTTACTCAAATTTTCTGATGACGAATTTCTTACACTTTAAAATGACATTACAAGAATTGCTGGATTTCGCAAACTTTGTTGCTTCCGACTGCAGTGTTGAATTACCCAGAAAAGTTAAAATAAGTTAAATTGCCCGTATGGCCAGGAAGCCATGAGGCCAAGAGTTAATTTTTTTCTCCTTAGTATTCTTAGTATGTAAATTTTTTTCTTCTTAGTATTTTTAGTATAATAAGTATAAAATTAACTAATATAATTAATGTTTATTTTTGTTTTGTGCTAACACTTCAACATCATGTTTTCTCTTCGAAAATGGTACTTAAAACCTTACCAACGAGTTTATCTTTAGAAAATAATTTTATCTTTAGAAAACAACCAATCATCGTAAGAGATAAAACGAAGTGTTAATCATTTTCCATGAAAAATATTTCAATTGCAGTTTGCATTTTTTATCAATATTTATTTATGATTATTTTAGCTTTTTTGCTTCGAAAGTGCAATGAATTGAAAGTCGGATGAAAAGAACTTTCAACTCCGTTTAAAACTAACGTCGTTATCATTTTCAACAGTACAGTTCATCTTAGCACCATTATATTCACGCTATTTAACACCAGTAGTTATAAAGTGAGTTAAGAAATACAATAGCGACTGATTTTCTGGTTGTGTTATAGTTAAGGATGAAACATATTTAACACCAGTAGTTGTAAAGTGAGTTAAGAAATACAATAGCGACTGATTTTCTGGTTGTGTTATAGTTAAGGATGAAACATGTTCAAATGCATATACAATAAAATCTTACACACAAGATGATGCGAGTACAAAAATGTAAACATTTTTGTACTCGCATAAAACATAAAACATAAAAAAAGCTACACAAATTAATATAACTACTTTTTATAAATTGATATTGAATTTTTTAATTATACTATGAATAAAAACATAGTTCTCGTTCATTCAATGTCTAAAAGTAGCTAACTCTTTCACCAGGCTTGCTTAAAAATAATAAAAACATGATCATGAAAGTTTAAACGTGGCCTCAGTTGAATAAGTTTGAATCTAAAAAAAACGAGCATTATAGGTTAATGAGATAGTAATCTCAAGGCATCCATTGGCGTTCAGCTTGGCTTTGTAAGAATATTTGCGCTTGCGGAAGGCCGACATCTTTTCGGCACAGTGGGCAGGAAGATTTCATTTCAAGCCATGTGGCTATACATCGATAGTGGAAGACATGCTTGCACGACAGTTGCGTCACCACTGAGTTCTCAGTAAAGTCTTCAAAGCACACCAAACATTGTCCGTTAGAAATTTTATCTTTCACGTAAGGAAGATGGTAGTGCTTGTTTTTGAGATAGTCTTGATAAAATTTATTTTTATGGTGTATTACTGCTAACACGGTTCTACGCTTCAATTTGCCAAGTTTGATATATTTGAATGAATTAGCTGCAAGTCTGTGGAAGTAAAAGTTCTGCATCTCGAAAAGTATTTCATATTGTAGTTCTGTGAAAAGGTGCTCGATTTTGCTGATGAATTTGTTCTCGTACTTGCCGGTGTTCAATATGCCTGGTGATTGTAAAAAGCTTAGGAAATATTTTACTAATTTCTTAGATAGTCGGTACTTGGTTTTGTTCCTCTTCAAAAACGTTATGTGCATTTTCTTCTGAAAGTCACTTCCAAGTTCGTCGTAATTATTAAAATGTTTAGAACATGCTTTCTTTGCTAATAATTTTATGTCGTCGGGTTCAGCGAACGAAACTGAAGTTGAATCCATTTGAAATGTCGCAAGTCTGTATCAATGAAATGTGATTCTTTAATGTATGACACTTCCCGACCAATGTTTCCTAACTCGATAATTTGAGGAATCAACTCAACAATATATAGGCTACAAGGTTTAACAAATCTCGTACATTTACAAAGCGATTGTAAAGATTTTGACTGCCGGAGAAAGTTTCATAAATTGTAAAGTCGTTTCACACTCACTTGAAGTAAAAATTATTGCAACTTAATTGTAATGGACACAAAGGATGTTGTAAATGTTAGCATTTCCTATGATCTAATTGAGAGTTATCGTTAAAAATTATCGTACTATCGGTGTTCTGATTGTTGTGTTGGTTAAGAAATCTTTTAATGGAAGGAACCTCTTTTAATTCATTTGAAATGGTTTTCTTATTTTTTGAATTTTTAAAGTAATTTTCTCCTAAATAATAAAAATAAAACAAAATAAACTTTATAATAAAATTACTTAACAAATTCAAATCAAGGAATACTTAATACATCTCAACCATCATATCTTCATCAACTTATATCGCGTCGTTCATCAACTCGTCAACTGCGTCCGTCTTCATATATATACTCACTTGCATCAACCTATGTATTAGCAATTAATCAGTTGCTAACATTTACAACATCCTTTGTGTCCATTACAATTAAGTTGCAATAATTTTTACTTCAAGTGAGTGTGAAATTGTTTTACATACAGCTCTCCTTCCAAATGAAATGATTTGTCTGCTATCATGTGTCAACAACCAACCATCAAGCTTTTTAGGAAACGTTTAAAAAAATTTTTGTTCATCCAGGCCTATTGAAACGTCAAGAACTCAATACTGTGAACATTTAAATAACGCGGAAAAAATGTTACATTCTGAAAAGTTTAATGTTCTGGTTTTCATCAATTTTCTATACTGATACTAAAATTGTGGTTGAAATTCTGAATCTTACTACCTCAAATTTCAATTTTTTGTTCACGTATGAATTTAAAATAAATAAATAAATATGATATGAAATAAATTTAAAGCTTCTGAAATGTGAGAAATATGAGAAAAGTTGTTTTTTAATTTTTCCATTGCACGGTTACAACATCAAACCAGTATTCTGAATCAAATTAATGATTGGTAAGTTTTTATAATAAATTGGTAAGGTACGGTAACAAATGTTAAGAACATGGAATGACACTGCAACAAACATAAAACATTTAACATGAAGCAATGTTTAATAGGTTCACTATGCTTAAAAATCAAAAAAATAAGCAAACAATTTTTATCAAATGAGCGATGTTCCAATCAAAATTCATTTTGGTTTTCAACATTTTTGCCTTTATCTACTTTTGGTTAAGCTTTTTATTTTCCCAGCAACGTTTGAACAGCAAGTAGATCAGTTCTATGATCTCTACAGCACTTGCCAGGGTTACTCCCAACCAGAGGGACAACATCCCACCGTGTATACCGGGCTATCTGTCTGGAAAAAGGAAAAATTTTGTTCCATTACAAAATTTATTTTCACCAAAGATTCCTGCATTTGAGTTAAACTTGAAATAGGAATTTCATACGAGTTGTTTTTGATAGAGACATTGTATGAATGTAAATAGTTGATGTATCGCTGTTTCACAAGCGAGTTGTTCATACAACCTCTTTCAATGAAATATTTTTCAAAAATGTCAAGTTCTATCGAAGGTTGTGGCCAACAGTTGAGGTTAGATAAGTTTGATACAACATTTCGTTGCAGGGCATCAAACAATTCTTTGCACATTTATTGATAAAATCTTGTTGCATATCTTCGCGAATTAACTTTAAGGAAAGTGAAAGTTGACAAAATAAACTTTTGAAGAATTCACCTGCAAACTTGGAATTGTAGTACTTGGTCCTAGAAACACCGCTAAGTAATTTTGCAATTTGAGAATATTTGTCCTCATCTGATCGATTTATGTTCATCGTGAAATAGGAACTTAAAGTTCCACAAATGGGCAGATTTTCCAGTTCAGAACCCAAATAGAGCAAATGAGATTTACAATCATTAAAATTAATTTCAAAATTTTGCAAGCAATTTTCTGTGCACAAATCATACGAGTATATAGCGGAAGAAAGTTATTTGTAATTTTTTGATCAGCACATCCTGCTCTGTAATTTGTTAAAATGAAAAAAAAAGTTATTTCCGTTATTTATATTTTTAGATAACAACAAACTTATTGTGAGGTCTTCTTTCGGTTTGAATAATTTCGACAATGTTTTCAGTTTCAGGAGCCACATTGAATCCCCGCTTGAGATCAGGTAGAGCTCCAGGACTCTGCACACTTACCTTAACTCCTCTGGATTGGAAACTCAACAGTGAACACTCATTCCTCTAATAATCTTTGTAAAAAAAAAATTTTAAATTGCTTGTATTTAACGTGTAGCACGTTAAATAATTTTCGTTCCAGGTTTTAGTAAAATCTTCGATGGAACAATTGTTTTCCAACTCAAACCAGTTAGCGCCAAAGAATTCACAATCCACGATGAATTTAGGACAACTAGTAGACACTTGAACAGTTTTTGGTAAATTTATAACATAACTCTCTAACGTTGCCAAATCTTTAAAAACATTCTCAAAATCGATATTATCTTCAGAATTATTAGAAATTGATTCATCCACTCTTAATTTGAAAAATTTGTTTTTTATCTCAATTAAATTTGATAAAATTTCATTCATGGACATTTCTTTAGGTTCAGCCGCTGCAAAAAGGTCCAAATTGCAAATGGTAATGTCTAGAAATGCAATGCTCACATCACACCAAACTGTTGTAAATATTTTTGTCTTTTGGAGTAAATTGATGAATTAATTAATATAATAGGTAATCCAAGATCTCTATATACAATTTTCATTTCAATTATTTTAAAGATTAATTTATACATTTTTAATTTTGCAATAAAATTGTTTATTTATATTTTGTAACGTAAATAAATCATAACATAATCATTCAGTCAACATACATTATTATGATTATCATGAACTTTGTTAAACGATGCAACTTAGCCTCAGAGTTTGTTTCAAATTACTCAAAAATTTTTTTTGCTCAATTCTTTTTAGAATAATAAACGTTTTATATACAAACATTTTCCCTGAAATCCGATGTCAAAGGGTATGCGTAATAATTTTTCAGCAACTTGTACAGCCTAGTCGTCATGTAGCTTGTTGATCCCAACAACAAAATCAGCCAGAGAACTTTCAAGAAAGCATCACTTGATTTGAAGAATTTCGATACTCTTCTCACTGATGTGCTCTCCATATTTCTATAATTCTGACTTCAAGATTTGATTCATTCTGTATTCAAACTAGCTAAAATATTCACAAATTTTGAGTTTTTTCATTATTTAGAAGGATTTTTTAGGCACTAATTAAGAAACCTTAATTAAACATCTGCTTTGATGAGTTTTTTGAAAGATTAGTGTAACAATAAACTTGTTTTAACTATGCCAAACATTCAATCAGATCAAAAGCAGAATTTCTAGCGAAAAAAAAATAAAAAATGGTTTCTTGCCATTTGAACATTAAAAAAATACTTCGATAAGATTAGTTAATAAATAAATTTAGCCCTTACATAATTGAATAAATTCTAAATTTAAAATTATCAATTTTAGAAAAATTAATTTAAAATTATTTAATCCAAGTGAATTTTAAATTTCAGTCATTCAAATAATATAATTAACGTTATCATCAATGAGAAATTTTTCAAAAATATCGTTAACAGTAACAACTCAATTTCAAATCATTCTTTTAAATAAAATATCATAAGGTTAATTGTTATTATTGCTTACCATTTTGTATCTTCAATTTAAAATAAAAGCCTAACTTTAGTGGAAAAACAAACAATTGTGTTCCATTGAAATATTTTATTTAATGTACTCAATGTGTGCATTTATTCAGGAAATCAGTAGTTATTTTATTTCTTAACTCACTTTACAACTACTGGTGTTAAATAGCGTGAATATAATGGTGCTAAGATGAACTGTACTGTTGAAAATAATGACGATGTTAGTTTTAAACGGTGTTAAAGATTCGACCGAGCGACACTCAATTCATTGCACTTTTATTCTAATTTCAATTCAAAAAAGCTAAGTTAATCATAAATAAATATTGATAAAGAAATGCAAACTGCAATTGAAATACTTTTCTTAAAAAATGGTTCACACTTCGCTTTATCTCTTACGATGATTTGTTGTTATTAGTCATTTCCTGGATGGCCTGCTGAACCAGTTGGTTTCAAATTAAAAAAACTGTTTTCAAACTGTTTCTTCACCTTAAATCTATCAAAAAATGTAGACTTACTGTCCAAGAATTGTGATTCCACCGGCGTAGAGTTGAAATCAAAGTTAAAAATTTTATACATTATTGATTGATTTTTTTCAAAATAACGTAATCAAATATTTAAAATATTCATCTACTGTTTATTTTCAACAATAAAGTTATATATTCTATGAAACTAAACTAACACATGCATACCTGCATATGCTGCAAACAATGCAAATACACCGACCAGAACGAGTAACTTCAACATTTTGAATGTTAAAGAGTTTGCTCGGCGTCGAGATTTTTGTCGATTTATAATCATTTTCTTACGTACATACATTAATATTTTGTAATTAAAATTTATGACATTTTTTTCTACAAAAAAAAACATCTGTGACGGAATTATAGTTTGAAAAATTTTAGATTTTTAAATTTTAAAAGAATTAACAAGAAAAAAATTTAAAAACTGCATATTCAAGTAGGCGTCGTTCAAATGTGCTTTGTTCGACGCAATGAAAAACTAGAAAACTATTTTATAATTCACCATTTTATTTTCAACAGCATGTTAAATAAATGATAAAAATCTCGAAAAACACATGCCTAGCAACAATAAATACAAACTTCTAAACCATGCGTTAACGCATATACGTCACCTTAAAACTCTTTTGTGCAATGCTAAAAATCTTGTAAGCAAACACATGATTGTTCATCAAGCGATGTTGCAATGGCGGTCTACACTAAACATACCACGTTGGCATTGGCATGTTTACCTTTTGGTGAATTAGACACTTTGAGTTGATTTTCTTCAAATTCTTCAAACATTCGTAGTGCTAACAATCAGTTGACCACATAATTTCTTGCTCGTTCCACTTTTCATTACAGCCTCTTCTTGTCTAGAGCAAATTTCACTTTGATGACATCAAACTACAAAAATTTGAGAATTAAAACTTCGTCGGCAAAAATAGGAATTTGAGTAAAAATTTACGTAAAATTATTATCTAAGGATGAACTCGTTGGTATAGTTGTTAAAGTACCATTCTCGAAGAGAAAACCGAATGTTGAAGAGTTAATTTTTTTCTTCTTAGTATAATTTTCCTGGCCATACGGGCAATTCATAACTGCATTCGGAAGCAACAAAGTTTGCGAAATCCAGCTATTCTTTTAATGTCATTTTAAAGTGTAAGAAATTCGTCATCAAAAAATTTGAGTAAGCTTACCTACTTACTAACGCCTGTACCCTTAACGTAATTATCATTTCTTACCTGTTTAAACATTTTTAATTCTTTGTGATCTAACTTTTATTGAGAAACAAAATTACAATTAATGATAAAATAAACTTTGTAATACGTTTAATCGTAAACGTGTTTTGCAACAATGAACGGATTTTACAACCAAACTCATTTTAATTCTTCGTTAGCATAAATTAATTAACCACTAATTAAATTTCTCAATATTTTTCAACGATATTTGCGTTTGGAGCAACATGGCTTCGACGCACCTAAAATGTGTTGTGTTGTTAATGTGTGTTTTAATGTGGAAATATTGTGAGGTCCACTTTTCGGCAAAGTCTTTAGTTTGTTTATGATCTCATTCATTTCAATGATATTGTTTCATTTAAAATCAGAAAACCAAAAATTTACTAATAATTCGAGACTTTGTTTTATTTTTTATCACAAAACAAAAAGAAAATGAATATCTAAATTATAACACATTAACAATTGACTTCTAGTAACTATTAAAATTCTAGTAATTTAATTAAATTTAAACTTCACTTTCGGATCAAAAATGTGTAAACATAACATACTAAAATATAAATTTTCCGATATATATATATATATACATATATATATATACATATATATATATATATATATATATGTATATATATATATATATGTATATATATATATATATATATTGAACTATTTGTTCAATTTGACAATCAAATATATTTAGGTAGAGAACTGACGGATATGTCAACATATTTGTAGCCGTAATCTGAATTTTTTATCTCATAGGTACGTTCGATCCGACGACTGAAGACAACAGGCTTTTCGTAGTGCGGACAGTGGGTCTTCTTCCTCATCCATTTTTTCAGGCAACTGAAATGAAACGCATGTTTGCAACTCAATTCAAATACTAATTTATTTTCAACAAATTGATACCAGCATATTCCGCAAGTATGATTTTTAGATATGTGATCAAAATAAGGAACAGCGTACTGCCTGTTCTCTGCCAATGCCTCGCTGAACAAATCTTTGTGGTTACTAATCATTAAGAGCAATTTCTCTCCGTGACCTGAATTCATGGAATTATCACATTTGGAAAAACTTATTTTGCAAAACCGTTCAACGTAAGCTTCGTAATAGAAGTCGTGCATATCTTTGAGTAGATTGTATTGCTGGCTTTCAGAAAGCGATGGTATGCCGAGCCATTCGTCAGTGCCAAACTTGATCTCCATTTGGATGCCATTAATGACTTTTGGAATGTTTTCAATGTCAAAATTTGAAATTGGATATTTATTCTTGTTTTGACTCAAAAACCTGTTGAAAGTATCAAGTTTGAATAATTTGTGGCTATGGTCCCTGTGATCCAAGAACTCGTTTATTTCTTCTCTGACGCAATGTTCAACATTTTCATAAATTTCATTTAAACTGTCTTTTTAATCTAATCCGTCCATATTTAATATTAAAACGTTCAAAAATTTTCAAAATAATTAATAATTGAAATTCGCTCTTTCAATATTCAATGTTATAAAATTTTACTTTCTGGTGAAAATTTCCGACTTATATATGCTCTTCACAAATACAAAAATTTTCTAAAATTACTCACCAAGAACTGTTTTAAATTTTACGACTGTCTAGAACAAATATTCATACCAGCACTTTTATACATAAAATTGGTTTAACAAGGAATAAATGTGAAAATGTCAGAAATTTTGGATTGAAGTAATACCAATCTAATTATCTTTTTCAGACATGCCGTATCAATCACATCACCGATGAAATCATTTATTTCAATATCGAAAACCTCCTAATTCTTCAATAAATTTTTCTTTTAAATTTTTTCTTCTCCTAAAATTTGTTTTGATGGTTATTTCGACTTCGTCTCTTTTCCAACCATATGTAAGGTTTATATAAATGGATTTCAGGATTTTAATAATACAATGTGTGCGCGTGCGTGTGTAACGTTATTTCTTTTAATAAAAATTTTCAACTACTGCATGTTAATATTCTTTTCATAATTTTTTTCTTTTCAAAGGAGTGTGAAAGTAAAGTGCGTAAAATTTTCGAGACGTAATTTGATTAATATTGTTATTATAAAAATTAACCAACAGATTACGAGACAAGATAACATTTAATGTAATTTTCTACCATTTCAAATAATAAAAAAATTGAAATAAATACAAAATATATTTTAAATAAATTTTTCCTCGAAAGATGTTACAATAATGCGATTAAAATTTTTTTCTTTGCAGCCAATTCGTCTATTGTTTCAACACATTCGTAAAAGTATTATATTTTAGAATGTTGAAAGTTGTAAAACTGAATATTCACTTTGAGCAAACAAGGAACCAACAGAGTAGAGTAATCTAAATTGAAACGTGATTTACAACTGGTTTTCAAGCCTGTATAAAATTCAGCTTGTATAAAACTCAGGCATTTCAATTGGTTGTTGACAAAATTTTAATTATTCAATTCATTTTTACATAATTTTTCAATTATTTTTGCTTGACCAGAAAGTTGATGCCACACCATATATTGAACATCATAACAACATTTTGAAAAATTCATGTGAAAGACCTTGATGGATCGTCATGCAAACGTTTTAACACAAAATTCACAAAGGAGTGAACAACTGGAATTTCCAGAAAGAGAACCTGTGTACGAAATTATCACAGAGAATGATGAGGAAAAGAACGTTGATAGACGTTATTTTACAAACATAATGCTAGGGAGTAAGAAAAACTACATGACTCTCGTTAACTTTGTTAGTGGTGGAGCCGAGTTTGCCGCCAAAATAAAAAAAAGAAGAGAACGAGCAAGATGATGTTGTTTTCATGAGAACAAAAACATGACGAATGAAGAATGTGACCATCGGGTACCAAATAATGAAATTGGATCATGGGAGAAGCACACGAAGGGAATTGGACATAAGTTGTTAGAAAAAATGAGGCATATTCCTGGAAGAGGCTTGGGTAAATATCTCCAGGATATTTCGAACCCAGTTGAAGCGGTGTTGAGAAAAGGGAGGGGTGACATTAGTTACTATGACAACAAAAAACACGAGAAGGGTGGGACTAATTATTTTTTTGAACAAAATTTACAAAGAAATGAAAAAATCAAGAATTGGAAAACAGGAGATAATAAATTTAAACGATCGGCTACTCAATATTACATAAAATGTGAGTTATTGGAAACCAAAAACGAAAAATGAGAAAATAATGTTTTTCCAAGAAAGTCAAAAGAAAAAAGAAAATATATTGTTCGGTGTTAGATGTTCCAGTCGATCGTTGATGTTGCTTATGTCCGTGGTTTATGGTTACCGCCGAACACGCTGTGATTAACATCAATAATTGCATTTCTGATAGTTTTAATCTAAGATTTTATTTGCCTATGTGTTATCATGAGGATTTGTTTGAAATTTTATTTATTTTATTATTTGTATTAAACTGCTGTGTAACAAGTAACAAATAAAAGTATTTGAACCGATGAAGCATAGGTTTTTCAGTCTAGAAATTGCCTATTCTCAGCTTAGGTTTATGGTTCTTTCGAAATGGACAGCATATTTAGAATTCTGACAGTTCAATTAAATTATCCTTCAGCAAATCTAGCTACTTTTTGAATTCGCAAAAAATTTCCTTTCATAAAATTACTGAACCGATAAATTTTATTCTGATAACTTGGTAAATTTAGTAAGAGATATTGTGTTTCGATTATTAAAAATAGCTGGGTGTTATTCCTTATTATTAAATCGTTTGGTGGGCGAGATGTTGTAGTGTTCAGAATTCTGGTATTGCAGTTGACTGGGTTCAAATGCGCAGGGCTGCCACGAAACTTTTTTTCCCCGAGACAAAAGTTTTGGTTTTTTGCTCATCACCTAATTTTTAACAGCTTACAAACCGCATAATAACCAGTCCAACGTTTTCATGATTTATTAACCTTGCATGTGTGGTCTCTGCATTTTTAGTGACCCTCAAATCTTTGTGGCCTTTGCAGTCTGCCTCTTGTCCCTTCTGAGCGGTCCTAATGAAGAGCCTGCCTGATGGATCAACCTCCCATGTCTCGTGGAGCTTTGTCGAAAAGTACTAATTGTTGCCTAGGCTACCATTTTTCAATTATCATTAAATTTTTTTTTTCTTTGTATCCTTTCATATACATCGAAATTAAAATGCATTGTAGAATCGATCGTGTCATTTTTAAAAACCAAATTCAATTTTTCATAGAACAAGTCAACTACTTATTGATTTCATTTGTTTTTACGGAACTACAAGCTACCATGTATTTCAAATCAAATTAATGTCATATTTAACAATGCGATCTTCTGCTTTGAATACATTTTATAAAGCTGAAAAGCTTTGTACTGTGTTGTGCCTATATTTAATTTTTTTTTAACTTTTTTTCATTTGAGTCTGATCTAGGTAAAATTATATAGTGCGAATTTCTGCTGATTGGACGATATTGCTCACTCGAAGAGAATAAATTTGTAAAATGGTAGAAAGATCACAATGAAAATTTTTATTTTTATGACAACAAAAAATTTATTTTTTAATTTGAGATTTAGTTTTAGTCAAAGGCCAAATGCTTCTGCTTTCAACCAACCATTTCTTTAAAGTTTTATTCAAAAAAACCAAATCCTCTCTCGCACGTGCAAAAAGATTTACCAAAACCGCAGGAGCATTTGAGTCCCGCACAACAACTGCAAAAAATAATTTAAACCTTTTTATCTAAATAAAAAATACAACGTATATTTGAGGTTTATGAAGCAAGGAATAATATTGAAGTACCTACCTGTTGATCAATCCGCATGGGCCACCAACATCGCTACAAACTATTCTGTTTCATTTAAAGAAAGGTTATTATTAAATAATTTTTGCTCAGTTATAAATCAATTTTTCATTTTTATTGTAATCATTTTTCACAAAAACTGGGGAAAATGGATGGAGTAATGAAACAAATGGAAATCTCTTGCATACTACATCATCGAAACCCCCTAAGATTCATTGAATGACGATCGTTGTGTGATAGTGTTTGTTTTCGATTCTAACAACGATGCCAACGATGTTAATAAAATATCGTGCAGCGAAGAGTGAGGTGGTTGCGCTATTTTCTGTCCTGGTTGAAAAGCGGCAAACTCAAGCAGGAAATTATTGTTTTGGGTATTATTTAATTTTTTTTGAATCAATAAGATTTTTTTTATAACATGTCTCACAAATTTTTTTTAATTCGTGTATACCTACATTTTCTTTTTTAATCCTCTCCGATATCAAAGTTGGCTTACAAGCAGTTGGGGCATTACAAAGTTTCATTCTTTTTATTTGAAACATTTTAACATCATGAAATGTTATAAAAACACCAGAAATATAAGTTTAAAATAGGCCAGCAACTCCGATTCCGAACTGCTTGACACCATGTCTCCTCGTCTAAAATTGCAAAGTCCCTCCTTGAATTGTCCGACTTCAAAACTTCTGTTCATCGTTCATTTTAACCATCATCACAAAAAGAACTACTGAAAATGTTTGCGGATAACGCGCTTTCGTGTATAACACGCAATCCAGAATTTTTTTCCATTTCCGAAGGAAAATATTTACTGAACGAATGCTACTCGTGTTAAACCCGCACATCTGCCTATTGCGTGCACTACTTCGGACGAAAGAGATGTGCCTTTTTCACCAAGATTTCCAATAACAGTTGCAAAGTATAACTTGTTAAATAACATAAACTTGTAATTGAACGACATATGTGCGTGCAAGTGCAACACCTCTGTTGACCAATTAGCACGCATGCTAGATGGGCGCCATCGTGAATATGTTGGTCTTTTGTTTTTAAGCTCACGAAAAATACTTATGGTAAATATCGGTTTATGTGAAACTAACATGCCTGAGTTATTAGGTGTTATATAGTGGGCGGCGTGATGGCCCAATGGTTAAAGGCGCCTGGTCTTGCTATTGCAATGACTGGGTTCGAATATAAAGAAATCACCGCCTATCATATGAAATGTATATGATGCGTGGTTTGCACGCGTATTCATATGCACTGTGTGTGATTGTCGTTGAAACCTCTGAAGCAAACGCAAGAAAAAGAGAGAGAGAGAGAGAGAGAGAGAGAGTAACCTTTAACATAAATTCAAGTTATTTTAACATTCAACAAAACCCAGATAAACATTTTATTGAGTTAGTTATAAATGGGATAGCATCAGCTAACCAACCTCTTAGATATTGAAAACTCGTGACCACCTGCAAATTTTCAATAATATTTATGCATATTTTTCAGTTCGGTACATTCATAAAACATGGTTTTAAATGGTTTCACACATATCAATAATAGTGAAAATAAAATTTGTATGCGCTGTGCAGACCTTCATTATGTTTTTTGAAATTATTTTAATATTAACAATAATATTGCTAAAAAATATATTGAACCATTGATTGATATGAAACAAAACGTTTGTTTATTTATTTATTCCTTTTATTTGAACTGTTTGTCAGATTATGTATTTGTTTATAATCCTTTCTTAGAACAATTTATGATTTTAAATAGTTTATGCCGGTCAATGATATTGGTCGCTGATCGTTATAATTCATATGACCCCCGGGAATAGAACTAAACATGCAGAAATACAGCAATAAAAAAATATTCATAAAAAAAAAAATTTTTAAATAAGAATTAAAATTATTAATAAACTATAACAAAAAGTGAAAATTGTAAACTTTGATGAATAATTCATCAAAGTATTTCGTAAAAACTAAAGAATGACACCAGACCCTAAAGTACACTGAAAATGTTCGCGGATGTGTTCGAGAGCCATTGTATATATATATATATATATATATATATATATATATATATATATATATATATATATATATATATATATATATATATATTCTATGTATAAGGTTTCGGTGTGCTTTTGTTCACAAGAAACAATGACAGATGTTAATTTCTATCTTTTATTTTCAGATCAAACAGCCTTCAAATTTATCTCTAATGCTTCTCATCTGGTTGTGCGAGTCAATTGTTTCGGTGAAGATTAGAATTGGACGAATCGAAAAAATGGAGATTCCTCGTACCCTGATCTGAATCTAAGCGATGGATTCTACGAATCCGAATTCTGAAATGCGTGCGTGCTTAAATGATTAATATTCAAACCAACTTCCATCCTAATAATAACACGAGAACAATCCACAATTTGGCGCTTTGTGAGTCGACTCACGTCATTTTATCTCGTAATTTTAAAAAAATAGAGATTTTTTATTCGGCTGTAGTTACAAATTTGAGTTAAAAAGTTTAAACGTGACTTAAAAATATTTATGTAAAATCTCTATTCAATTTGTGTTTTAAAAAATTCAAGTAAATTTATTTTTCTTAAACTCAACTTAATTCGATAGTCATGGACCAGGTTTTAACAAAATCTCTAGCGGATCTCTGGATTCGGGCACAAATCTAGATTCAGAACCGTCGCATTCTTAAGTCTCTTGAATTATTCACAAATATGAAATTAGTTGACAGAGTTCCAAAGGAAAATTTTGATGAGAAACACGAAATTATGTGAAACTTTTGAAAATTTTCTGTTTTCTCAACATTTGTCAGCGTGCAAAAGATACAATGAATTTATCGATTGCTTCGTCAATAAGTCAACATAAAAAAAATTTTGTTCATAATCAGCAGAAGAATATATTTGTGACGCATTGAAAATACTTTTGAATTCATGAAAAGCCACTTACTGTCTGATTCTGCGTGGAGTAGGAGAGAGTTGATGGAGATGAACATCCACATCATACAAATCATGATCATCTTGCTGAACATACTTTATCGTTTTTGTCGGCTAATTATTTTCGCAATAACTTCAATAACAGGCAGACCAGGTAATAACAGATAAGATATTATTGAACTGAACAAATATTGAGATATTCAGATTCGGGCTTTTAGATAACATACCCTATGTATCTACTAAATAAATCGTCACAAAATAATATATAAAAATCCACTCCGATAGCATGTGACTAAGAATTGAAAATAAAAATTTTAATTATTGCATTGGTTGGCAGAATATTTCAACACTAACCATATAATTAAATTTCCTATCTCTTTCTCTGTTTGCACGCACGCACGCACATAGCCGTGATATTTCTTTGTTTGTTTTTCATTATGTTACTACACTACTGACGATGTAGATGTTTTCAGAAATGAATCATTCATTAAACTTCTCAAACGGCAGTTCATCTTTTGAGGGCATTTTGTAACTTTATAAAGTAAGTAATTAATCAACCATATGGGGTTGATTAATTTTGAAATGTAAATTTAAGAATTTTTGTAACCAGAAATAATAAATCACGTTTTAGTAAGAAGGTAAAGTAGAAAAAATTATACAAATGAATAACACTGTTGTCTATATGGAGACAATTTTCAAAATATTTTCGTTATTCCGCCGGTTTATTCAAATGAAACAAGTGTGTGTGAAGCTTTACGGTCAGTATATTCGAAAAGTTTTCAAGGGACATACATGCACATTTTGTCATATTAGAACTAATAACTAACCATGAAACTCACGGTTAATGATTGAAAATTCAAATCAATTCCATTAAATAGCATTAAATAATGAACACATTATACATGAACACATTAAATAATGTAAACATTTTGCCATAATTTCATGAATAAATCAAAATAGTCAAAATTGTGAGCACATATAACCATGGATGTGTAAGTGTATATATAATAGATCCATGCATATAACCTTTTTTGATTTAAAGATGTTTCTAAAATTTCATTTATTCTGGTTAGAAACTGAAAAATCGCAAAACAAAATTGGTTGTCCCACCAGTTTCTACCCCCTCCCTCTTGTTACATAGGGTTCCAAATTGTTGACCCCTCTTTCTATCAATTGTAACATCTCTGTGGATAGGCCCTATTATGATAACAATACAATTGCTTTGAATAGTTTTTTCAACTAGATATTTTGTTATATAAAAATCAGTCAAATATATTTACAATGGAAATATTTTGAAATTTGGAAGCAAAAAAAGTGTTTTTGTTAATATTTGTGCAGTAAGCCCCGAAAAATCCTTCTTCAATTAAAAATCCCACAACGAATTATGACGTTTTTTAAGACAACAAACCTCTGTCCATTTATGAAACAAACAGCAACAAAGCTCGTCTGTATTCAAACGAGAGAATTAATGGGGTTGATAATATAGATGACCACTTGAAAACAGTTTTTGATAACTTCCTGGAACAAAAATCAACCAGAACCAATTGTAGCAGGACATTTAAATTGCCAAATAAAAGCCAAAAATGTATTTTTTTCTACGATTTTAGCATGCGAAGTAAAAGAAAAATAAATGAAAATAAAAAATAACAGTCAGGGTTCAAGTTTTTGACCGGCAATAGAATTTATGTTAATGTTGGTGGACGGTTACCAATGAAAAGAGCAGGATAAAAATAGAGTTAGATAAAAATTCCATTTGATATAAATACGGCGGTAATATTTGAAAAAGGATAGTTTTCGATGGTTTTGAATTGCGAGTTGGAGAAAGTAGGTTGTTACCTTGGTAGTCGGACATAAACTTGGTAGTCGGTTCGTGGTGGCTTGTCGTTCATTGTTGGAGGTTGGGAGTTGGTTGGTGGTGATTGGTGGCTGGTCGATAGTTCATGTCGAAGAAGTTTCAGTATATTGTCGTCATCCAGTAGGTAAATAGTTTCGACATTCATTCGAGTTGTAGAACAACACATATCCCACAGTCAGCAGTGTTTTTTAAATACAGCTTTGACAACATTAACATTAAAATCTATCCTTTTATTTATTCATTTTTTTATTGAAAAAATTTTGCAACATTAGTTATGACGTTGAAGCTAACTTCATTGCAAATGCATGGTAATGATGATTATTATTGTTATGATAATGATGATTAATAACGACTGTTAGGGTGATTATGGTAAAAACTTGAAATTTTGTTGAGATAATCTTCAACTCATTCATTCATTCATTCATTCATTCATTCATTCATTCATTCATTCATTCACTCATTCATTCATTCATTCATTCATTCATTCATTCATTCATTCATTCACTCATTCATTCATTCATTCATTCATTCATTCATTCATTCATTCATTCATTCATTCATTCATTCATTCATTCATTCATTCATTCATTCATTCATTCATTCATTCATTCATTCATTCATTCATTCATTCATTCATTCATTCATTCATTCATTCATTCATTCATTCATTCATTCATTCATTCATTCATTCATTCATTCATTCATTCATTCATTCATTCATTCATTCATTCATTCATTCATTCATTCATTCATTCATTCATTCATTCATTCATTCATTCATTCATTCACTCACTCAATCAATGAATCAATCAATCATTTATTCATCCAATCGATTAACCATTCATTATCATCATCATTTTTTTTCATCACCCTGATCATCAAAATCATCTTTAAAAACTATTATTACAATCACGACTGTCACCATCACCATAATCATCATCATTCTTTTGTCGTCATCTTCATCATAATCATCATCATCACCATCTTCATCATAATCATCATCATCACCATCTTCATCATAATCATCATCATCACCATCTTCATCATAATCATCATCATCACCATCTTCATCATAATCATCATCATCACCATCTTCATCATAATCATCATCATCACCATCTTCATCATAATCATCACCATCATGCTAGACACGGTCATCAGTATCATCACGTTCATCAAAAGATCGACCGCTATTTCCGTTTCGCGAATATTTTCGTCGTCCGTCGTCGTCTCTGATTTTCCACGGATTCAAAATTCATTCTTCATACTTCAATGGTATAAGCTTGGACGATCGTCGTTCTCATCATCAGCATTGATGTAGAAAATTGATTTTGTTCTCTATAGTGAAGACATTTTAAATTTAAAAACATTGTTTATATAATATTTGTTTATATAATAGAGTAGAACAATCTGTTTTTTTTTAATCCAATAATTTATCTATACTGGCGTACTTTCACATATCAATTTAAATCCGGTTAAACTGACTCTGATTTGATTTGGATTTGAAAAAACGAAATCTACTCATAGCGTTAGATTTAGTTAGAATTCAACTCAGCTACTATTTTTAGCTGAAAACACAAATTTTGATGAATATAATGAAAGTTACAAAAAACCGTAGAAATAAGTATCGATCTGGACAAACTACAAAAATTGCACAAAATTACAATTATTTTTTCAATTTTTTCCATAAATTCTTTTGGGCAGTTATTTGTTTCGAGATATCGTAATAACTATCTCTTATTTCGATACTAGATTTTTCGAAAGCCGTCTTTTGAATAGATTCTATAACATTACGAAATTTCTCAGATCCTTAACGTAGACATATTATGCGCATGATTCAGAAAAATCCGACGCTTAATAACTATCCCGGTTATTACTATGGATAAAATTATGCCACCGCTAATGCCAAGCTTATAGTAACGAATACTAAATTGCTAATCATACGACCACATCAACTCATATTATTAGAAGTTGTATTGCTAGAACGACAACTACTAATACTACAAGAAAAATAGCCAACATTGCCCTACAAATTTAACAAACACCAAATATAATCACCTAATAAAAGAAAAGAATACATATTACTACTTTTACTACTGCTACTAGTGCAGCGACCACTATTGCTACTATTATTGATGATATAATTGCTCCTGCTATCACTTTGATAATACAATTAGCAATAATACTAACATTATTTTTTGCTACTATTTTTGAAGGATGGCCAAAAAAGATAAACTTATGGATAGGCCATCCTTAACTAAAAATTCTAACCATAGATGTAACAGAAATGTCATGAAATACATACACATAAACTCACGCTCACACATACTTACAAACAAGCACCATACTACAATTCATATCCAATACTGCTATACAGAACAGAAGAAACAGAATCAATGAAATGAAATGATCTGGAAACCAAACATACGCACACTTACACACTCAAATAAATAGACACATAAACAAATATGGTCACACCCCGTACACATATAGGGCAGTGGTGTAGTCGAGCCGGAACGGGCCGGAACGGCGTTCCGGTACTTTTTTTTGGAGGCGGAACGCGTTCCGGCACTTTTTTTTACAATTTCAATATAAAAAAAAGTACATTTTACAGGCGTTAAATTTAACTTTAGAAATTAATAGATAATTATAACCAATACCAATACAAACGATGAATAACTTCAATTTTTTTATTTAAACTGTTTATTATTCAACGCTATATCATTGTTGCTATGCTTACGGTTTAGTAAACATTGTTTCAAATTATATTTGCGTTTTTTGCGGAAGTTAAAAAAGTAATTTTTTTATTTTATTTATTTTACATTTACTTTAAATATTCTGCTTTTTATTACTTACTGTTTTTTTTTAAATCAAATTGTTTAAATACATTTTTATATAGGAAAGTGGGATAATAAATAAAAAAATGTTAGGCTCCATCCGTAAAATAAAATATATTATATTATAAATTATTTGTGTATACAACAATATTATCATTGTGATATTATATTTTATATTATTATTAATGTTATTTTTAGAAGGATATAAATTTGCGTGAGTCCAGATGTCAAAAAAACGGGAAATAAATGCCATTCTTGATTTTTTTTGTAAAAAACAAAAGCGTGACAATGAAGATGAAGGTTCTGCCAATACCAACTTAGAATTGATAGAAAATGGAAATGAAAGTGAGAATGGGAAACCTGAAGAAATAAAACCATGTTTTCCCAGCATTTGGACAGCTGATATGTGGGCTGAAAAGAAAAAAAACTATAATTGGCTTACTTGCAATTCAGAAAAATTAGGATGTTTATTATGCACTAAAGTAAGAACTTTGGGACCATCCAAATCTCAAGGTGTCAGCATTTCAAAAGAATGGAGTACCGCAACTGTAATTTATTATGGAAAAGACAAAAGTTCAGTTGACGTCTTTGAGAAAAAAAATTCATGAACATGCTAAGAGTGCAGCACATATCAGTGCCGAGAAAATTTTACTAGAAGCAGAAAAAAAACCCATGGAAAAAGTAATAGATCAATTAAACAACTCTGCTGTAAGTTCTACGTCTAAAATTTTTCGTACAGCGTATTACATAGCTAAACATGATCGTCCATTCTCAGATTTATATGACTTATCACAATTACAAGAATTAAATGGAACAAATATTGCTCCTGGATTGAAATCAAGATTTTCTTGTACTAATGTTATTAATCATATCGCTAAACAAATGAAATCAAAAATATGCCAAACAATTATTCAGAATAATGATAAAATATCGATTCTTGTGGATGAATCTACTACGCTCAGTAAAAAATCAACTCTGATTATTTATTTTAAGTGTGAAATAAATAAAATGGAAGATCCGCATTATCTCTTCTTAGATTTAGTTGAATTGGAAAGCCAGACTGCCAACAACATTACAAATAGTCTTTTAAACTGTCTTGCAGGTTACGGGTTTGATGACCATTATTTGGCACACAATTTAATTTCTTTCACCAGTGACGGTGCGAGCGTCATGTTCGGGCGGAATACTGGAGTCTCCACTCAACTTACAAACAAATATCCAAACCTCATTAAATGGCACTGTGTGAATCACCGACTAGAATTATCTGTTGGCGAAGCAATAGATGAAGTACATGGAATTAACCATTTTCAAATTTTTATGGATAAACTATACACTCTTTACCACCAGTCACCAAAAAATCAAAGGGAATTGGAGTCATGCGCACAAAACCTAGACACAGAAATAAGAAAAATTGGCCGTGTGTTAGGTATTAGGTGGGTGGCAAGTTCATTTAGAACAGTAGCTGCGGTTTACCAAAATTTTGAAGCGTTGTGCAAACATTTCATACAAGCTAATCAAGATGTGAATCAATCCAAAACAGAACAATGCATGTATCTTGGTCTTTATAAACACATTTCATCAAAAGAATTTTTGTTAAATTTAGCGCTAATGTATGATGTCCTTTATGAATTGTCCCTGCTATCTGAGGCATTACAAAACAGAGGTACTACGATTATTTACGCAGATAAAAAAATTCGCCAAAGCATACGATACTTAGAATCTATGAAAAATGCTGAAAAAGGGAATAAATTAATTGAAATTGCAAAAGCGATTGAAAAAATGAAATTGGGAACAGTAACTATTACAGGTAATAGCAAAGTATCTGTCATTAATAGAAATCAATTTCTGCAAAGTATTATCAACAGCATAAATCGCAGATTAATTGTAAACTCGGTATCACCTGAAACAAATATTGTAAATGAATTTCGAATTTTAGAAAAAAATGAATGGCCAAGTCACATTCCGCTTGGATATGGAGAAAAAGAAATTCATTCACTTTGCAAAAGGTTTAATTTGTCGTCTAAAAAATGTTATAGTGAATACAGAGATTATTTAGATGATGGAGGAAGAAATCCACCTGCAAACCACTTAAATCAGTTAATGTTGTATGGCAAACTAATACCTTGTAGCTCTTCTGAATGCGAAAGAGGTTTTAGTAATATGAACCTCATATTAAATGACAGGAGAAATCGCTTACTTATTGAAAATGTTTCAAATTTATTATTTATTAAAATGCACGGACCACCACTAAATATTTTTAATCCTGAAAATTACGTTATAATATGGCTTCGAACACACCGTTCTGCTGATGATAACCAGACAAGAAAATCTTCATCAGAAAACATTTCAATTAACTCTCTTTGGAAATTGTTGTAAAATTAAAATATATGAATTAAATAAAGATTAAAAATAGTATGTCGAAATAAAACCGTTTTTTTTATCTTTCTTTACTTCTTATATTTTATTATCTTTTAGCCGTTCCGACGCCGTTCCGGTACTTTTTTTTTAAGACTACACCACTGATATAGGGCGTGGCCATATGTCTCAGGGCACAGCCGAGTGCATGGACATCTTACACATGGATATGTGCCCCTCCATATACACCCCCGCTGTACCCTGGTTAACGCTCCTAGAAATCTAAATTTAATGTACATTAATGTACGTACATGCATCTCACAGCATTGTCCCATTCTTGCCAACTCCATGCGCACTCTAACCAGCGCAGACTCACTTAGCCTACCAGCTACTACTTCTCACGGTTAACCATATTATTTCTATAAAAACTAGACACTCTGTAATTTCCACATTGCCTATCTAATCTGTGGGTGTTTTTTTTATAGAAAATACTACAAAAATATAATGTAAAAATAGAACCGACAAAGTTCTCATGATAAGAACCACCAGCTTCCAGCGTAAGATCACAAAATAAATCAAACTCCCCTTGAAACATCATATCATTCCCGTTGTGAATTATGTAATGCACAATTAAATGACCACCCGCAACTATTTGTCACATTGTGATTTTTTCTCACTGCTGTACCATCGCCACGCCCGAATATTAATATTTCATCATCAGTAACAAATTCAAAAACATCAGCAAAATTGAATAGTAAAGAAAGTTATATTAAAATCTCACAACCTTCTATCACATACTCCAAACAAATCAGACTACTTGTCCCTTAACTGCTACATCTCACAAACAATCGCGACACTATTTCGATAACAAAATAGATACTCTGTGATATCCCAATCGATCCTTTTGTCTTGAACTCACTCAGTCAATTCAATATCATTGCTGCGCATAAACAATAACTGTACAATCATTATCATTTCATCAGTAAGAAACACAGAAACTTCGGCAAAAATGAACAGTAAAGTTATTTTTATTAAAATCCCACCACCTCCCTTGCACGCTTTGACAAAGACAGACTGTCGATTTATCTACTGCCACGTTTCGAACAATCACGATGCTATCTCGACGAAAAAGCTGCAATGTGAACACCGGTCATGGAAGACATCACAATATAACATGAAAATAGCAGCGTCGAAGTGTTCATTATGGCTCCCGCCCTACGGACCCCTACCAAAAATTACCTGCCAAGGAGAACCGCCAGTCTGTGACTTAGAAATGCCAAATGAACCATATACTGATTAAAGATGTTGCATTCGTGGACTCCAATTATAATGCATAACTAACAACTGAGCGCCCGGGTCTATTTGTAACCGCCCACATTGATTAAAAACACCTAACAGTTAAGTAGGATGTGAGATCTAACAATGTCCTAATGTCCATGGGCATTTGGACATCACACCTCTTTTTCATATCTCGCACAGCACCACACCTCTCGGTGTCAGCAAACACAACGAACTGCGACGTGATGACTGACAGTTAGGACGTAGCAGTTTAGTCGGAACCATCTTCATAACCAACTGTAGGTGCTAGCGATTTTCTGTTTGGGTTTACTCCCATAGCCTTTCCATGAATGGGTGTATCTGCAAGGCAGCGGAGGTTTGAAGTCAGAGTTCTCCTTCTCCTAGGTGTATGGCCAGCTAAAGCTTACAAGCTCCACCTGCCGGAACGACTGGTTATGGCGCCAGTTACTCGTCTTCGCCTTCTCCTGTTAGTTTAAACAGCTTCAACGTGAAGGCCAGGAGTAGGACCTGATTGACGTAGGTGAGATACCTACTACAGCCAATGGGAGCATTTTCTAGAAGATGGGAGTTCATTTTTCATTCCCACTTCCGGCAGTCAACCCGTTTGAAGCCATGTGATCTATTTTATTTAAGTGATTTTTTTGATCTTTAACTCACTCATTCAATTCAATATCATTGCCGCATAAACAATAACTGTACCTCGGCAGAAATGAACATTAATTTAATTTTTATTAAAATCCCACCACCTCCCCTGCACGCTCCGACAAAGACAGACTGTCGATTTATCTACTGCCACGTTTCGAACAATCACGATGCTATCTCGACAAAAAAAAACTAATATATGCACACCGGTCATGGAAGACATCACAATATAACGTGAAAATAGCAGCGTCGAAATGCTCATTATGGCTCCCGCCCTACGGACCCCTACCAAAAATTACCTGCCAAGGCAAACCACCCGTCTGTGACTTAGGAATGCCAAATGATTAAAGATGTTGCATTCGTGGACTCTTATTATAATGCTCAACTAACAATTGACCACAAGCGTCTATTTTTAACCGCCCACAATGATCGAAAACACCCAACACTTAAGTAGGATGCGTGATGTAACAATGGACATTTGAGATGTAAATTAGATGCAGGATGAATCAAATTGAATTACCTTAGTAGGCTTTTTGCTATGAAAATAATTTCAATGTAAATATTGCAAAATTTTTAATTAATAATTTTTCATTTGAGTTTTTCATAATTTGTAATAAAGCGCTACATCAGATAGCTCAAGGTTGAACAAAACAATTCAGTGAAGATAAACACAAACTTCTCATCTATATATACTCTAAAAATCACAAAAATGACGTCATTTTAATGTTTTGACGTATTACGCATGTAAAAAAACAAATATTGGCGCATTCTAAATTTTAAAAAAAACAAAACAAAACAACAACAATATAAACAAAAATATTTCTCTTCCTTTATGTGGGGCAATGTTTTTAAATTTATTTATTGCTATTGAAAGTTGACAATGAGCAACAGCTGTAGCATTGTATAAATATATAAATATATCATACAAAATATCAGACAGTTTTGTATATTCTTCTACACGTGTATAAAACTTGATGTGGATAGAGTAACGGTAGGAGGCCAACATTTTAAAGTTTTCACTTTCACTGTGGACCGACATTTGTGTTAGTGTGGCTGACGACGCTTTTTCAGTTAAAACAATGAGTTTACTGACTCATTAAAAATATTTCACGCAAAGGGTAATACCGGCCTCTGCCATCGTGGATCCGCCGTTGTTTATGTATTTATTTCTATTTAAATATATTGCGTCATTTTAATAAAAAAAATTCAATTACGCTATTTTGTAATCATAAAAAAGCAAATAAATGATTGAGCATATGCACCAGAGTTTGAACAATTATCAATTTTACAGGTAGAAGAACGACGGATGTCCGCCAAACTTACACAGTGATTTAATCAGCATGCTATTTCATGATAAAATGAAAACATTTAAAAACATATTCGGTTGCAGTTCTGTAGCAGCCACTTTAGTTGAAGCAGCGATGGTTGCGATTGACGTTGCAGTGGCAGTGGAAACAGTTGGTATAGTATATGTTTTAAAGGTTGTAACCGAAGTACTTGCCATAGCGTTCAATGGTTTACACGGAAAATAAAAAAGTTTTGCACTGGATGAATCTAAAACAGCGTATCGTTGTGAAAGTTGGTGAATGTTTTTGAAGCAACTGAACATGTTTTGAAGGTATGAGAAAGTTTATTTACAGTTTTCGAGACTATTTTCTCAACATAAAACAACATGCCTATTGAATCCTCCATCTTAAATTAGGCCTTTGATGTTAACTCGTTGTCTCAACTTTCACTTTGCATTTTAATAAGAATTTTGAAAGTTTATTATCATTTTGGATGTCATTTATAATTTTGTATATCATTTACCACTTTGCTTGTCAACTATCACTTTGCATGTCAATTATAACTTTGCAAGTCAATTATCTATTCGTATGAAAATTCAAACTTAATGCAAAGTGAATTCCATTAAGTTTATTTTTTGTTTGTGCTATTATGAAAAGTGTAAAGGCAAAATTAAATTTTATCCTTCGTAAAGTCATACAGAAACAAACATCTTCCTCATTCATTTATCTTGTAAACAAGTTTTATTGAATGAAAGTTCAATCGAGAAGGTGCGCTTAGGATCAACAAAAAACTTTAACAGTTGATAAAGTAAAATAAGGCAAAGTTAATTAAAACGTCAAACATCAGCAGGTATACAAAGAAACTTCATGCAACAGAGAAACGCAAAGTTGAGTGCGAATGTATAAAACGCGAAGGTTAGGTTATACATGTATCAAAACCGTACTCGGTGATAACTAATAATACGAATAGAACAAATTATTTAAAATATAAGTTTCATTTATCTTTACTACTACATTTCCCAAGATAAAAATGTCATCTGATAAGAAGTTTGAAAATAACCAAGCTAGCAGTGGGTCAGCTAGATGTCTAGAGTTGATGTCATTAGCCCATGGTGAATCCACAGATGTTGAAGTTGGAGGTGCAAAAAAAGCAAACAGCGATTTCGAAGATGGCGAGATTCAAAAAATGAGAGAAATGATCCAAAAAATGGAAGAAGAAATGAGAGAGTGTGAAACCCTCAAAGAAAAGTTCGTTACAAATACCACTTCAAACGCTACATCGGCAACATCTGAAGTCGACGGACGATCCATATGGGTCGGCAATGTAGACTATGGATCTACATTAAAGGATTTGAAAGAACATTTTGAACAATGCGGTGCCATCATAAGAACGAAAATTTTACGTGACAAATTTAGCGGCAAGCCTAAGGGGTTTGCATACATCGAGTTTTCGGACGTTGTGTCCATTGACTTAGCTCTAAAACTAAATGACTCACTATTTCGCGGAAGACAAATTAAAGTCACCGCAAAGAGAACCAACATGCATGGCCTATCAACCACAGACAGAAAACCAAGAGGAAGAGGTAAAAGGTCAAGGGGTGGTCCAATGGCAGGGAGAGGTCGCTATTTAGCTACTGCACATCACATTCCAACACATGTGCAAAGGTTTGAATCATACGCGGAACAACAGCCACAGTACCAAGTATGAAAAAAATATACACATAAAAGTTACAAACAGTGTAATACAAAGCTGGTTATACTGAAATATTTCTCTGAATAAGGCATCTAGATTTTTAAAGAATATCTGCGATGTTCATTTTGTTCTTTTTGAAGACATTCTTTAAAAACGTTGAAAACTGGCAAAAAAGCTTCCCTAAATGAAATTAATATGAACGCACTATTAAATATGACTCTGGTCCAACTCTGACAGTTATGACCACAGTTAAATGTCGAAAAAGACTTTGTGTTAAATAATCATTTAAAAAATTATTTAGTTGTTATGGAGTGACGAGTGATTGCTAAAAATAATTAAAGCAATGAAAATAATATTTAGAATATAACATAATAAAAATTTGATGTTGGCGCGATGGTGTAACAGTAAGTGCTTGTCAATGCTGTTGCAGGGACCTGGTACGATTGCAAAGAAGATCACATGGAATGTGTGTGGTGCCTTGTTTTAATGCATCTGAATAGAGATTCAATTTGTAGTTATTTTAATTAGTTATGTTTTTATTTTTCCTCGGCTACTTGAGTTCTTTCCGTCAGCTGTGATTGAAACCAGTTTAGTGCTTCACCTAAAATACCATATGAGACTGACGATCGTTTCAGCAAGATACAATGTTCCATCGTATCAAATGCAGCTCTAACAACAAGAAGCACAAGCATTGCTACACTTCCCAAACAAATATATCATCTTGGATATTTTTGACCCTGCTGATAGCAGGGTCAAAAATATCCAAGACCACTTTTAGTATCATTAATGCAATGATTATTCTCAAAGCTTTTAAATTTAAGACTAAGGTTCCTTCCAACTAACACAAATTTTGAAAATTGTTTCAAGAAGGTAATTTTATGTATTCAACTTTATTTAAAATTATTCACCAACAACAATCATAACGTTGACGATAATTTTAATAGTTACGACCACAAACAACGAGTATAAATGAATGGTGTTTATGATAGTTTTTGTAATGATCAACAGAGTTTTTTTGTGAATTAAACATATCGGATGGTGATAGTGGAAATATTTTTCATGATGGTGAGGAGGACGATAATGCGGAACCTAGGAATTATTTTCGGAAACATAATAATAAAATAATAATTAATATTTTATACCATAAGTTATCTACCTGTGGAAGTCCATCCCATGTAGAGGCACCTTCCTTGTGGAGGTCCCTTTCTTGTAAAGGTCCCTCCCTTGTGAAAACCCCTTCCTGTGAAGAACCCGTTCTTGTAGAGTTTTTTTTTCTTTTGTGTAGATCCCTCCGTTGTAGAGTCTTTTTCCTTGTGAAGGTCCCTTTCCAGTAGAAGCTCTTTCTTTTTGGAAATCCCTTCCTGTGAATGTCCCTTCCTTTCTTTAAAGGCCCTTTACTTGTGGAAACCCCTTACTGGTGGAGATTTTCCCTTGTAGAGGCACCTTGCCGTGGAGGTCCCTTACTTGTGAAGATTCCTCTTTTGTGGCGGTTTTTCCTTTGTGGAGGTCTTTCCATTGTAAAAGTATTTTATTTGCAAAGGTGCAAAGGCTTCTCTCTTGCAGCGGTCCCTTTCTTGTAAGGTCCCTCCTTTGTGTAGGTCCCTCCTTTGTAGAGGCCCCTACCTGTAGAGGTCTTTCTTTTGTGGAGGTCCCTCCCTCGTAGAGGCTTCTTTCTGTAAAGGTTCATTACTTGCGCAGGTCCGTCCATTGTAGAGTTTCCTCCCTTGTAGAAGCCCCTTTTTGTGGATGCCTCTTACTTAGGTCTCTCCCTTGTGGAGATTTTTTCCTTGTAGAAGCCCCTTTTTTTGGAGGCCTCTTACATGTAGAAATCCATCTTTTGTGATGATCTCTCCTTTGTGGCGGTCCATTGTTTTTAGAGGCCCATTCCTATCGAGGCCCCTTACGTGTGGCGGTCTCATCCAGTAGAGGTCTTTCTCCTGTGAAGGTTCTTCTTTTTTTCCTACTTTTTTTTAAATTCATAGTTATATGTTAGATTGAGCAATCAAAAACAAGACAAAAAAATTTGTAAATCTCACAAGTCTAACCGCCAAAAAGCAAAATATATAGAAACTTCTGAATAATAATATCAAAGCATTGTTGTAATAATAATAGCCAGCAACAAAAGCAAAAAGCTTTAAACAACGAAGCAGCAACTACTCACCTGACACAAAAAAACAACTACACTACACTACACTACTACATTAGAAGCATCGTAAACGAAGCAAACAACATCCAGACCCTAGCTTACTGAACCAACTATTAAAAAGTCGTATGGCAATCGTAAATGCTGCGGCTGTTCTATTGTTATTGTAGTCGCTTATTTTTTTTTTAAATTTTTTCCTTTTCCTGTTATCGAAGTTTGTAACTGTTGTTACGAAACCGCATGTCGAATGTTCTTACATTTTGCATGTTATTTATGCCTTCGTTGATGTTGATGTTTGAAAATCGTCCAAGCCATTTATGTTAATAATGTCTAAATACCATTGAGATGATGTTATGTATGGATGTTTATGTAGGCAGAGCGTGACTGTTACTCGCGTTACTTTTATTGATGCTGTAAAATATCTTTATGTTTATCTTGCAAAAAATTGATGAAATTGCGAAAGTTTTGTCCTAAAGATCAAGCTGGTTGGCGATGATGATTGATAACATGAAAAATATTAAAAAATTGCTGTTGGTTGATGTTTGTCGATCATCTTGCCTCTGGATTTTCATGTCAATTTGAATATTTTTTTGTTGCCAATGACTTTGTAACCAAACCAAATGCCAGAAATAACATCTTCCAAATAATTATTCTATTTAATCAAATATATTCACAGAATTTCAGTTATTTATTTACATTTATTGGTTAAACTGCCTATATATTTCTTTCATAAAATTATCTTTAGGTAGTTGTTTTTTTTTTCATTCGCTAGGACAAAAATAATACTGACGAGAAGATACAAGCTGGTGTGTACCGTTTCGAAATGATGCCTTTGGAAATGTTGAGCTGTTCATAATTTACTGGAAGACATTGTTGATGTTGTTCACAATGCAGTATTAACAGTGCGTGTGTTGTATGTTATTCTACAATTCTGTATGTTTCAGACTGGGTGCATGTTTTGTTTTATGCAATGTTTGATTGGTGTATGTCGCATTGTGTGTCTCATTGTGTGTCTCACTGTGTGTCCCATTGTGTTTCATTGTATGTCTCATTGCGTGCCTCACTGTGTGCGTTTGTGTGTCTCATTGTGTGTCTCAGTGCGTATCTCATTTACTGTGTCTCATTGTGTGTCTCAGTGCGTATCTCATTTACTGTGTGTCTCATTGTGTGTTTTTTTTTCTGTTGCTGGTGGTACGACGGTGTAATTTTGAAAACTTTCTGGCGACAAAATGTGTACAATTGTTCTGTCATCAGCGATCAATCTTTCCTCCACTTCTCATTATTTTATTTATCTTCGTTTTTCATTCGTTTTTTCTCAGTTTTTACTGTTCTGTCATTTTATTCATTTAATCATTCATTCATTCAATCATTAACTGCTGACACCTGTCACAAATATTTCCAATCAGCCAGTTGTCAGTTTTCTTTCTTCTATTGCTTTTATCGTTTTGTGCGTGTGTCTCTGTTTGTGTTTCTGTTTGTGTTTGTGCGTGATTGTGTTTCTATAGTTAGAAGCAATTATCAAAAAATTAACCGATTTGTTAGTTTTGTAAATGTATTTCTCTTTTTCGGGTACTTCAATTCAGTCGTCATTATTTAACTCGTCAATGCGATTTTTAAAGCATTCAATAGCTTTGAAATGTTTCCCGCTAATAACAGGCAAATTTTTTTTCCTGCAACGACTGCTCTGTCCAACATCATTTTAAAGTGTTTTCAAGCCGAAAATGTTTTAGACATTCCACGCATGTTGTTCATTTATTTGTAATCTAGCATTTTTCATATTTTTTGACAAAAAGCTCCATTCAGCCCAGACATACATGCTCGTACACACGGCATACTATTCTCCAATGATCATACTGCAAACAATATAAAGCTATTTTGTTTATATGATACCTGTTCAACAAAACTTTTTTAGACTGAGACTCTTGCAAAGAATTGAAAAGAACATAACGAGTCATTTTATCGACGAATAACACTTCACCGCCAAATGAATTCTTCTCTTCTTAAACTTCATAAACATGTGCATAGTTTATTTATATATCTATTTTTTTTAGCAAAATGCCCAAGGCTCATAAGTCTTGAACGATCTACTTTTCATCCATTTATGCTTCTTAGTTTAGATTATCCAATCGTTAAGAAAATTTTTTATCAACCCAAGCAAAATAATTTCTAATGATATAATAAAAATTTAATATAATCTAAGTTATTTTCGTAAATTAATTTTTTTCAAATTTCCCGACATTATGTTATATTTAAAAATCGTGATCTACTCACGATAATGTTTTTAAGATTTATTCAAATAGACATACATTCATCTGTAGCACAGCAAGCGCCCAATGTTATCAATGAAAAATCTTCATAAAGAACTGAACGCTACACAGCCCAGTAGCCTTACCAAATTTCGAAAATATTCAAACGACAGACCTGCTTTTACCACAGTTATATAATGAAATCACATTAACAACCATTGCTGAAATGGCATTTAAAATTTTTTAACTTAAACAACATGTTTTCACGATGATAAATTTTTTTTAATCCATTTTATTCAGAAAATTATTGAATTATTATAATCATTTGGCGAAAATTATGAATTTCAGTTGCAGAGTGTGTGCCAGGCAGTTGTTGTTTGGAAAAATTTATTTTCCAATACCTCATAAACACATTTGTGCTGGAGAAACTTAATTGATTCCAACAATTTCCATTGTAGGAAAAACATTGCTTTACATTCGGAACAACATTTTTTTTTCTATTTGAATTTACTAGCAGTAGCACACATAAAAATTTAGTTTAAAAAACATTTTATTTTAAAATTTATCCAACAAATTCTAAGAAATATTCAAAAATTTATGAAAATCTTTTCAAAATAGAAAATAAAGGTTGACTTTTAAAATTATTTAAAATTCATCATCGATAGCAAGCACTTTAATGAACAAATATTCCATAAAACACCACATACACCAGTTATTAATGAAAACGGAGCAAAGTTTATAACAGCTAAATCTCAAGGCAACACCAACCTCCTCAGACCATCGTCACAAACACACAATGTAGCAAGCAATGACATCAACAGACGTCAGCAAATAACATCAACAACCTCAACACGCATCCAAATCAACAAACAACATAAACAGCAGCAAACAGCAACAAACAACAACATGCATTCACATCAACATACAACAACAACAACAAACAAGGAGAACAACAGATTCTGAAGCATTGCTGCCTGCCACAACTCTGCAGACCAGCTGCTGACCAGCGTAGATCAGATTTTAACGAGGTAATAATTAGGAGGGGGACTTTATGCGCCTCACTTGTCCGCTCAAGCAACATTCAGCCAGCCAGCAATCAACCATTTCAGCACGCAACCAACCGACGGATCGATCTACCAACCAACCGACCAACCAACCAACCAACCAACCAACCAACCAACCAATCAACCATCCAACCAACCAACAAACCAACCAACCAACCAACCAACCTACCAACCATCCAACCAACCTACCAGCCAACCAACCATCCAACCATCCAACCAACCAACCAGTCAACCAGCCAACTAACACAAACAGAAACAAGCCAGTTATTAAAAACGATTCATTTAACCAATAATGATAATGAATTTGAGTGTAATTTGATAGTGATTGTGTCACGAGATTGTGGCTATCAGGACGGTGATTTTTGTTTTGTTTTACATAACTTCAACTTTTCAATGTAAAAATTTTAAATTTTTTCATTTTCCCCTGCAGTCAACAAGCGCATACGACGAAGAGGTTCAGTTATGCAATTTAACCTTTTTAACCTTTAGATGGGGTGTGATTTGAAAAAAAAATCAACCCATGTTAGTATCAGTCTTGTTAACGTTTAACTGCTACTGCCTTCAGTTGATAAATTAGTTTTTTTTTTATTTAAAAATCACCCGTATCTGATAGAATCACATTGGACTGGACATGTTGAAATGAAATTTTTAGCATCGATACAACAAACAGAAAGATGTTTGTGTTGGTCTTCAGTCCGCAACCAAATCATTTTCTAACAATCATGTCTTTTCTGTACATTTGAAATTTTGTCAAAAACTTTCGCCAGCAGACGGCAGAAATTAAAAACATTCCATGATATTCCGCGGAACATTACTTACAAAATTTTATTGTTTAACACATTCACTCATAGAGATTACAAATAGGCAAGAAATTCTTCATTAGGAATGGGGTTCGTCATTCACCATTCGTCAAAAAATTCATCAGTTTATTGCGTTTCGAATTGATGTGATTTACTTCGTTGATATTTAATGATGAAATTTACGTTTGAGACTTTTATATTTTGCAGATATGAGAGGAACTCAGGATCTATTGGAATAATCTTTCATACAGGAAACCATTCTGTATACGATGTAAATTGTTTAGTTGCGCTACGTAAAAATACATCCAGATTAATGGATATCATCAATAAAACATTGCAGATATTGCAAACATTTGTGGCCGTGTTCGCTTTGGGTTTTTTTTGGTTTGTTTTTTTTTGGTTTGGTTTTGTTTTGTTTTGGCAAATGACTGGCAGCAGTTGTTGCTGATATGTTTCGCATTGCTTCAATTTGTAGAAATTTTTTCCTATTTAATCATTTTTAGATATTTTGAAAATCGAATTTACAGTATGCTTCTTAATCACCCCATCTCAAATATTCTCAAATATTCATAATAAATATAATTACATCACACAAATTATCAATTACAAACAATTACAACAATTACATTGCAAACAATTTCAGCAACTACATTTCCAACATTTACAACAATTACATTACTAAAAATTACAACAGTTACATTACAAACAATTACATTAGGAACAATTACATTACAGAGAAAAATTACATCCCAAAGAATTACCAACAACTACAACAATTACATTACCAACAATTACATTACCAACAATTACATTAAGAACAATTACATTAGGGAAAAATTACGTCACAAAGAATTACATAAATAGCGCTTAACATTAAATCAACTCCGTTATTCCATAAAATATGTGTGTGTGCGCTTCTATGAAGTATGAAACATTGGTAATGTGCAAGTTGAATTGCTGATAACCGCTGGGCTATGCGCTAAATGAAGTTCTAATTGTGTGGTGTTGATCAGGTTTTATTTTTGTTTGTTGGTCGTCATGATGTTTTTTTCCTACTTAATGGAGTCTGTAATGAGGTTTTTGATGTTGTTGTCATCTGATTTTATTATATAGTATTGTTACTCTGTTGTCAGTGTGTAGTTAAAAATGTTGTTTGTTAATGTCAGTGCTTTTTTTGGTTAAATTGTTAATATTGAAAGTCGTATTTTAATTTTAATTGTTTCTCTTAATTTGACAGGTAATGATTTCTTTATCTGTTGCAATATGTTACTGACTGAAATTACATTTTCCACCGCTCTTCCTTTAACACTATTGTTACATTATAATTATTGTTTTTGTTGTTTTTAGAATGTTAATTTTGATTTTAATGTCATTAACGTCATGGGCAAACACAACAACAACAACAACACAACAACAACAACAACATCACAACAACAAACATAGCCGTTGTAGTGTTGGAGGGAAGTTGTTTATGATGAGTTGAATGCAAGCACAGCGCACAGCCGACTAGCGTTCAGATTGGTTGGTCGGCGTGCAACAATTTAAACACGAACTACAAACATATCTCATTCACGTTAACATGACATGCCAAAGTCATCATCTTCATCGTCATCGTAAACTTTTTCATCATCATCATCATCATCGTAAACTTCATCATTATCATCGTAAACTTCATCATCATCATCTTCATCATCATCTTCATCATCATCATCATCATCATCATCATGGATGGATGGATGGACGGATGGACGGATGGACGGATGGACGGATGGATGGATGTATGGATGGATGGATGGATGAATGGATGGATGGATGAATGGGCGAATAAACAGATGGATAGATGAATAGATAAAAGAATAAAGTTAGAAATGATTTTCAAACATTTATCTAAGGACGGAAGGGCAATTCACAAGCAGATTAGATGGTCAGACGATAGGATGGTCTTGAAATATTGGAAACTAAGTGAAGAACAAAGATGTCCGGCAGAGTGATGATGACGATGATGATAATGAGGACGGTGGTGATGACGATGATGATAATAATAATTATGATAATGATTTTTATAAGGATGA